ATATATTTTATATTTTATTAGGTTTACTTTCCTCCAGTTCGATATACTATATTTATAATATATTTTACAATATTAATACACCTTTAACAACCACTAAACATATTCTATAAACCTCTTCAACCCCATAGCAAACTTCAACCCACCTAAGAAACTTTGATTTCTCATTTTTATTTTCACCAAAACAAAAAAGAAAAACTAAAACTACTGAAAACTTAAAATTCATTTTCATTTTAGAACGACGAATGGAAAGGGTAGTAAGAGGGTTGAATAAAAAAGAAAAAAAAGAAAAAAAAGGAGATCGATTCCCTCATGTTTCGTCCTTTTTTTTCTTCTTATTCTTCGACACGATCATTCTTTTTATTCTGCATTTGTATCATACCAAAGTAACGATCGGAAATGGGGACGTACTGCAAAGAGTACATGGTACGGACAAAAGAAAACATAATTTTCTAGGCGGGACGAACCATGAACGAAGAAAAGGTAAATACTTACTTACGTTAATAATTGAATAGGATGTAAATGTGTGTCAGGTAGACGCGACGTGCAAGTCAATTATTTGTACACATTGACAAAAAAAAAAAAGAAAAAAGGTTAACAAATCACGGACTAACGATAAATAAATTCACACACTCATACACCTTCCGTGTATTGAGTATTTAACAACAACAAAAAATAAAAAAAGAAATAATAGTACGAATAAATCATAAATTGATATTATTGTTTTATAATTCACACACGTACTTATATATGCATTCTTATATGATATATCTGTATACATGAATGCACACATTCAAGAATACATGTATAAGAGTAAAGTCTCGTTAATTACCCGTATTTTAGTTAAGTGCATTTATCGTCTAAAACACCTTAGACTAAGAACGTACAGTAAAACAAACATTGGTCGCATAACGTCGAGCTAAGGCACAATAATCGTTGTAAGAATCTGTTAGCTCGTGAAAAAAAAAAAGTCATCTATGTTAGTCGTTATCTTTCATTCGATACGCTTAAAACTAAAGATACCACTCGTGCTACGTAATTTAACACTTTAGTGGCCGACACTTGTAAGATGGTAGGACACCACAACACGTATAGATTTTTTTTTAAATTTAAGATATTTATATATATATTTTATTATTTATAATTGGTATAGATCTAGAATTGTAATTAATTTAGAATTGTCATAATAAAATATATATATATATATATATATACACACACAATATTTTAATAATATGTGATAATAACGTAAACGAAAAAATATTTAATTTAATTTATAAATTATGTCAAATATTTTCAATTGATATAAAAATCTTAAGAAAAGTTTAATTGATTTTTATCTATTTTTTTTTTTTTCTAAATGAATTGTAAGATTGAGAAAAGATCGTGTGAAAATCAAATTAAATTCACAGCATTAATCGTTCGTCCTTTCGCATTTAGCTACTTTACCACGTTAGGTTACTACACATGGAAACGATGAAAAGGACTCTTATAGGGTATACTACTCTTCCTAAGTCTCCCTACCTTTTTCCTATTAGTAATTAGCACGCAACACCACGTTATTTCCCCCATTGGTGGCTCGTGGCACGCCGGGTTGGCGCGTGTCCTACCGGAAACTCGCTTAGTGCGCCTCAAACAGACCGTTTCTCATCATACATAAGCTTTTTCCGTTCGTTCTCAGGAGAAAATATGATGTGCTCTTCCTTTAGCAGCTGATTAAATCTACTTACTAAATTTCTATCATAATAAATCTTATTTAATATATATATATATATATATGTATATATAAACATTTACATTAATTATTTATACTTGTCCAATACGACTATTTTGGTTAAAGTTGTTTTAACTTCAATATTTCCACGGTTTTGTTCGAAAATGTATTATTGAAACAAAGTAAAAAATTATTATTTTTATTTATTTATATATATATTCGTTTTTGTAACACTATCTCATATTAGTTTTTTTTTCGCATTTAAATATAAATACTCTAATTAAATTTGTTTTTTATGACGAAAACTGTTTAAGATAACGGTAAAGTTGCTTCCAAGAAAATTGCAATTCTCTAATTATCGATAAAGACCTGTTTGTTATTGATAAAAACAAAAACAAAAAAAATAAACTTGAAATCGAAAAAACTTAAAGCTCTCAACCCTTTTTCACGAATGATAGGACATCGTTTTTAAAAAGTAGGATAACAAAGAATTAAAGTTTGATTTTAGATAAATAAAGGAAAATTTGCTAATGAAAATGACATTAAAATTCGTAAGAATTTCATGGGAGTTTTATTTGGATCGCGTCAGCTGTTGAGCGAACGTCAGACGTCAGACGTCATACTCGCATCAATAAAGACATGTGTCCGATTCGTATATAACCGTTATTAGGACATTGTGCGATGCATGACACACGCGTGATCTTCCTTGTAACTGTGCGTACGTTATTCTACCTAAAATATATTACAAATACATATATCTATATATATATATATATATATATATATATATATATATATATATATATATATATATATATATATATATATATATAGAGAGAGAGAGAGAGAAAGGGAAGTTAGTAGCATACTTTGTGGCCACGTGATATCAAACTTCCTAGCTCGTTCCCGGAAGGAAGAGATTTGGGGAACCCTATGGTTCTACTTATCAACGATCGATATCACTTTACTTCCATTAGAATTATTATTATTATTGGTCAAAAGAAAGTACACTCAACTGTATTAAAGGAAACCGAATATTAATCGTAAATTAGAGAAACGAAATTTAGAAACTTTGTTACAAGTTATAACAATATTTGTGTAATACATTTGTATTCTACAAATACTCAACCCAATTACAAATATATCTATAATTATATGTTGCATCAGGGTTGCGTCAGGGGTTTTTTGTTTTATATATATTACAAGGATTTTATAAATATATTTGTAATTGGATTGAGTATTTTTCATCTTCGTTACATTTATTCTACAAAGCCAAATTTATTATTTTTTGTAATAAGACAATTTGAATTTTGTGTTCATTTTCTAATTTAAAGATTTAGTAATTAATTATATATTTAATAAAAACTTTGAAGAAATTGATTTAATTAGTAGTATGTTTGGTTTGATTGTTACTGTCTTCTGAAGTTTCTTCAAAAAATAATTCTATAGGCTTACTTGTCAATACTATTGTATTATACTTGCGTGCTATAAATTGAGTTTGCTTTGTTGAGACTCCGATAATTCATTTGTTCCAATTAAATAGAATAAGTAGAAATTAAACCCCCCCCCCTCGATATCGTGGACAACTTAAACGTTACTCGATGATAGAAATCTAATTATAAGCGAACGGAGTTTTGTTCGAAAGGGCTGGCAAAGTTAGCAAAAGTAATAGGGTGCCTGAATTTTATTTAGAAGTAACATAATTAAAATCATTTGCAAAAGAAAACTAACGTTAGCAAATTTCTATAATGAAAATTTTAAACTAATTGAAATAAATCTAATTTCGTTTTTTTTTTCTTTCTTTTCATATAAAATTATTTTGTCATTATTATAACAAAAATACATTATTGAGATTTGATATTTTTCTTTTGTGTTGTTTGTTTAAGTATCATCCCCCTTAAAAGTAAATTCATATTTTTCATAGTGTTAGGACTTTCGTAGAAGAAAAATATCGACCTGACAGTCCTGTCATACAACGTACAACGTAACATCATAGTGCGTGATTCGTTCACATGTTAGGACAGACAGAAAAGAGGCTATGCAGACAACGATGGCTATGGTGTTAAACGATCGCGAATCAAAACATCCAATTAAAGTATATCGATATTAATAGAAGGGTAGTTTTTTTTCTTTTTATCAGACTTGTTCATTAAACCCTTTAAATCAAAATTAGACAAATTAATATCGTCGAGAATTCTATTAGAAAAAAAAAGAAAATTATTTCAATTTTATTTTAAATTAATTCGAATTAATTTAAGAACAAAAAGAATTAATTTCTAAATAAAAAAAATATGAATTAAAAATGTTACGAAACTACTACTTTGATACGTTGTTGGTCAAGGTATATTATTATTATTATTATTATTATTATTATTATTATTATTATTATTATTATTATTATTATTAGGAAAAGATGATTAAAGAAAAATATCCTTTTATCTGTCTCATTTCTTCCTTGGTCGTCATGAAATGCACGACTTATGTTGAAACATTTCGTCGATCGTAGGACAACAATAGGAATACTGAATAATGTAAGATAGTGGCAACAAGCGGGCTTCGTAAATAATTCGTAAACCGTTTCTACCGACTCCGATCGTCTTGAACTTTGTCGTTGGGCTCGTGTCTACGACAAGCGCGAGGGGGGTAGTGGTGATGATGGTGGTAGTGGTGGTGGTGATGGTACTTTGGATACCCCGAAAACAATGAGCAATAAAAAAAACGAAAATGGAGAAGCTACTACACGATCGAACTTATGTTCGAAGAGAATAGTTTACTGTTGTTTCTGTCTTGTTACAAAACTCTTTGGAATTATTAAATACAACTCGGAACGTATATTCTGTGTGTGCGTGTTAAAGTATCGATCAGAAAGTACCAAGCTTTTGATAGAAAAAGCTTTCTATACTCGATGATGAATATTAATTGATAAATTATCCATATAATTCTTATTATCAGTTTAAAAAAGAAAAGTTTTCATCCTCCTTTTAACTTTAATTTATTAATTTTTTTTTTTATCTTCAAATTCAATATATATATATATATATATACTTAAAATTTATAAATTAAAATTTATATAATAAAATATTATTATATAATAAAATTTTATAATTAAATTATAATATATTTTTATTATTATTATTATTGATTAATAGATATATTCATTTATTAATTCATTTTAGAACATTAATCTATCTAATGAGTATACACACACATACACACGTGCGAGCTTGATGTATATAAGGAAATTATTATTGATTTTCATTTTGATGAAAAAGGGACATGCAATACTTACCGGTATGAATGTATGTGTGTTTCTTCATATCCGATTTTTGGTGAAACCTCTTGCCGCAATATTGACAGGGGTAGGGTCTCGTGTCAGAATGAATTAGAAGGTGAGTGCTGAGCGTGCTCGATCGTTTGAATGCCTTCCCGCATTGTTTGCACTGTAACAAGGATTTCGTGGTTTCTCAGGTTAATACTTTATTCTATAAGTATTATCAGTTGAAAAGTTTTTCTTTAGTTTTATCATATGTTCTAAGAACAAGTAACGGGTTTATCTTCCTTTTTATTTGAATATTCGTAACTGGGACAACCCTTTTTTAGGTAGATATTTAATCCAAAGGACAGGAATTGCGTGATAAAGTAAGAATGCAATTATTATATCTTTTGTCGACTTCATCTCTTTGTTCTTATTTCAATTGAAGAAGAAATTAAGTATTCAAATAGAATGAACTTCCGTTTTCTTTGTATTCTATTTCCTTCATTGCCACTTGTCGGACATCCGACAAAAATCCCTCTCAACGACCCAGTTTTAACATGCATATTTTTCTTTTTTTAACAAATCTTCAGTGTGAGAAAAAAGTGATCTGAATCGATGGATAAAGTAAGTAACTAAGTAAGTAGTTGGTACTTAAGTAAGCGTAAGTAAAGATCTTTGCAGTTGTAATATGAAACCGATCATGTCAGTGAAGGAAAGAAGAGAAGAGAAGAGAAGAGAAAAAAATAAAAGATAAAAGAAAGGAAGAAGGCACCTTAAAAGAGGGCCGCACCACTGTGCTGTGCTGCGCTGCAGTGCGTTGCAGTGCGCTGTAATACGCCGCGTCGGGACGACCAACGCACCTGTGTTCATTTTATCTTCCTCGACTCATTGTAATGAAGGCGCCAGTCGTCACAATGCTACAAGCCAACACGCCGTGTCTCTTTCCGGACAATATATGTACATATGTATTTATGTAGGTTTGTAAGTAGCTGGATAGGGAATCGTTCCTTTACGAACGCTATCCAACTTAAAATAATACTTTTGTATCGAATAATATTTGTCTTGCTTTAATTTTTTTTATATTTTTTCTTTGGTTTTACCTTAATTCGATGTTTTGATATTAATACTCCTTTTTTTAAATTTTCTCATAAACGTTTTGTTGTTAATTTTGATGAGATAGAATATACGTTAATTTCATCCGAATTTTATACTATATATAAATCTGATATGTTTTTGGGATTTTACTGTGTTAACCGTTGCAATGGTAAACCTGCACTACTGCGTTAATTTGTTTTCTAACTATTGAATTTTCTTACGATTATTTTTATTTATAAAGACAATATAAAAATATTTTTCAAAAATGAACCTATTTATCAAATATAAAATATTACTTAATTATAAAATATTACTGCCCCCTCTATTAAATATAAAATATTACTCAATTATAAAATATTACTACCCCCTCTATTAAATATAAAATATTACTGAATTATAAAATATTACTACCCCACCAATCAAATATAAAATATTACTCCAAATATCTTTTATATATTTTTACATATTTTTCATTGACATTAATTAGAACTATTCGAATCCTTTGTACATTTCCCCTTGATATTTGATTCCCTAGATTTTTAAAAAACGAGGAACATTTGAAACCCTTTACGAAAAAAAGGAATAATACAAATTCAACATTTATTTTTCATACTGTTGTTCACTGTTGTTACGTTAAGATTTCGGTGTGGTAAAACAGAACGGTGGCATTGAATCAGCCCTTTTTTGATCGCCCACCGGCGCAAATACATTCTCCCACTTTAAACATACGAGACGAGAGAGTCTGTGTCTTGTCCTGCATCTTCGGATAATGTTCAAGTGAAACACCAAAACCCGTTCTCTCGCGTGTCCCCGTGGGACGCGTTGTCGAACGTGAAATGACTCGTAAAGGGAGAGAGGAAGTGGGGAAAGGGGGTGTCCCCGATCTTGATCGTGTTGCTTTCATGTGTGGCCCAAAGAAAGAAAGTATAAATAAAATAATGACAAAAAGGTATAGAAACAAAAAAATATCTCTAAAAGAAGAAGAAGAAGAAGAAGTCGATGAAGCCGGTTACGATGAAAACCATCAAAAGTGTGTCTCGAACAAATCCGTACATTCAACATCGAAACTTATATTTTTGTAATATAATTTTTTTTTTTAATTATTATAAAAAAAAAAAAGTGCACACTGGACGTTATCCTCTTGCTTTTTTAAATTTCTTGAAAAAGAACAAAACAGGAAAAAAAACAATTCGTGGTTAAAAGTTTGCGTATTGATTTTGGGTTCGCAATATCGATAATAATATAATTATCGGTGACAATAATTAGCAATTACAATTAATGGAGGAATAATTATTATGTACGGTATCGATAACGGTTGAACTTTTTCTTTTTTTATTTTTTTTTTGTTGTCATTCGAAAGAAAAAAGGGAGGAAATTAAAATACGGTGAAAACGTTCGTCCCGTTTGTAGATCATCGGTAGTGTGAGTGATGAACGGGGCCAGAGGGGTCAGGATTAGAGTGAGAAAAGAGGAAGGACGAAGGAGATAAAAAAGTGAGAGAGAGAGAAAGAGAGAGAGAGAGAGATCGTTAATAAGCACCGCGGCACTTCGTTCATAAGTCGCCAAAGGAAGCGGTGGATTGTGGGAATGAAAGCGGGTAGGGAGTGGAGCACGCCATTGTAGTAACACGACACGAAAGTGCTAACTTCCGGTGGCGCTTCGAGACAAAAGGAAAACACAAGACGTCCGCAAACGTTACGAGATGCTGCTGGTTACTGTTACTGTTGTTTTCGTTGTTGTTGTTGTTGTTGTTGTTGTTGTTGTTGTTGTTGTTGTTGTTGTTGTTGTTGTTGTTGTTGTTGTTGTTGTTGTTGTTGTCATTATTACTTGACCGAAACTTTCCCCAAGTAACATCGATACGATTCGTCTAATAAATTGATTTTAATTTCATTTCTTTCATTCATACATTTTTGTTTTATATATTCTGAAGGGGGAATAAAATTGGCAGTTTTGAAAGCATTAGATATTTGTTTTTTATATCTTTTGCTACCAAAAAACAAAAATATTTTTTTATCAAGTATACCCTAAGAAAGAAATTACTATCAAGTTACGATCTTCTTTTGTAAAATAATCTTGTTAAATCCTTGGATACTCTCTTCCTTTTAAGGGTGGTTTGGCATTGGTAAATTTAAAGAACTTTTAATATCTTTTGCAACGAGAAAAAAAAATCTAAAGATATAAAGTAATTTTATTTATCGAGTATACTCAAAATTTTTATCAAGTTACAATCTTCGTTTGTAAAATAATTTTGTTAAATTTTTGGATACTGAAAATGGAATTCGACGTATCCAAAAAATACTAATTATTATATCTAATCTTTTAACTCTTTCTTTTAAGGGTAGTTCCTAGTCAAATCTCTACGAACATGTTTTCACACTTATTCGTTACCAACAGTTATTGAACGATATAATAAAACTGAATAATAAAAAATTCCTTTTGAAACAAATGCTATAAAAGTTGAGCTTGATAGAAATGGTTGGAATTGATCGGTATCGGGTAAAAGGTTTCCGAGTAGCTTTACACGGCAACTTGGTTTGGAAAAATAAAAATCAGTCCTCCGAAATAAAAACTACGTGACGCGTCTGGCCCGCATATCCTAATATGTCCGCATTACAGTTACGTGTCGGACGTAAAACCACTGCTGAGAGAGTTCGAGCTACCATCGAATCGCACGTAATTACGACGTAGCCTCTTACCGATCACCGATACGTACTTACATATATGTATATATATATATATCTATATGTACGTATGTAACACGTCAAAACATTTGACCCGTTTCCTCGGCACCACCAAACTCCTGGGGGGTACTTATATACTTTCGCAGGAATTTCAGATCGCGTGACTCTTCAAAACTCTCTCAAAATCGGCATAATCAAAGACACATTTTCGTCGTGTTACTTCTTTTCACCAAGTAATCGTAAATTTTCATTTATTTTTTCTTTTTTGTTTTCTTTTACATTCAACACAAGTCAAATAAAAAGAAAAAAAAAAACATGAAAACTAAAGGAGAAGGTTATACCTATTAAAAAATTGAATATTACCAGTAATTATTCTCATAATATACCATCTATTAAATGTTCGTCATTTTGTATTTATCATATTAACAAATAACAAACTGATATAAAGAAAAATTGAATATTACCTTGAATTTCCCCTATAATATACCATCCATTAAATTTTCGTCATTTTGTATTTATCATGTTAACAGTTAACAAACAAATATAAAATAATTCTTTATATCGTTTATACTTAAAATCAATTTTTCCTTTGAAAGATTCTTTAAAGAAAAAGCTCATATCGTAAAATGTTAACTTGCCCGTATATAATTGTATATATATATA